CGTGGAAATACACTCAAAATTGATCTAATAGTTTAATGTTTCAAACAATTATTTAAATATTTTACTCCTTGAAATATTAACAAAGACCAGCACTGACTGACATAGATTATGGAAAGCCTGTGGTCCTTGAACTCTTGAAGGGTACTGTGGACCAAAAGTAACACGGCACACATCGCATCAAGTGCGTTTGTGTTGTTTTGGCTGGTCAGGGAAGAATCTGAAAATATGAATAAAAAGCCAAGAAAAGACATTAACAGCAAATGTTATGTGAACTATAAAAGCAGATAAATTATGTTTTTATCTATAGAAAATACTTCCTTCTTCTGATGCAATTTCTGCTGTGCAGCTTTGCTATTTTCATAAACTAACACAAAGTTCTAACGTCTTCTGTCAGGCCTTTTCTGAACAAACAAGATTACACATGTTCAAATGTTTCTGAAATGTATTCACTGCTCTGAGACAGTGGGGATGAGTCATTAGCATGTTGGAGTTTCTGAGCTCCTCATTGAGACAGCGCCAACACTGACGGTCCGGCCCAGCATGCCAGCACCCTGGCATGCAGCACAGACCCTGTCAGTCTGCTGTGTTAACACCGGCATTGTCAGCCTGCTTTCACACCCCGATTAGACGCATTCAAATGGCACTGACACGTTTTGGTATTATGCAGACAACTGCAATAATATCCTGTTTCTGACTTCATAATTCCCTGAACGGAACTGGGAAAGGAGGGAATGTCAGTCTGTCAACCACTGGCCGAGTCCCATTTTCCCAACAAATGAGACAAATAAATTGGAGGTTCATATCAGTTCTTTTGTTTACCTCTCATGCATCATCTCTCTTTTATTTCTCTGTGACTGTTCTGAGACTAACAAGAAACAAACATGCCTGTCAGAGCTTCTGCAATGTACATTAAAGGGATCCCCACTAATTGTAACATTAGACTTTATTTAATAAACATATAATTTAACTGTAAAATAAAGACTGTAATTAGGCAAAAAAGTAAAGAAAAACCAAAAATCCCCATATCAAAAAATTAGCATATCATGAAAAGGTTCTCTAAACGACTTATTAACCTAATCATCTGAATCAAGAAATTAACTCTAAACACCTGCAAAAGATCCCCGAGGCTTTTAAAAACTCCCAGCCTGGTTCATTACTGAAAACCACAATCATGGGTCAGACTGCTGACCTGACTGCTGTCCAGAAGGACATCACTGACACCCTCAAGCAAGAGGGTTAGACACAGAAAGACATTTCTGAACCAATAGGCTGTTCCCAGAGTGCTGTATCAAGGCACCTCAGTGGGAAGCCTGTGGGAAGGGAAAAGTGTGGCAGAAAACGCTGCACAACGAGAAGAGTTGCCAGTCAGTGATGGTCTGGGGTGCCATGTCAGCTGCTGGTGTTGGTCCACTGTGTTTTATCAAGGCCAGGGTCAATGCAGCTAGCTTTCAGATTTTGGAGCACTTCATGCTTCCATCCGCTGAAAAGTTTTATGGAGATGAAGATTTTATTTTTCAGCACGACTTGGCACCTGCTCACAGTGCCAAAACCACTGGTAAATGGTTTACTGACCATGGTATTACGGGGCTCAACTGGCCTGCCAACTCTCCTGACCTGAACCCCAGAGAGAATCAGTGGGATATTGTGAAGAGAAAGTTGAGAGACACAAGACCCAACACTCTGGATGAGCTTAA